CCAATCCAAACACAGTGGTTAAAGCAGTGACATGAGCCATATTTTTTGGGTTCAAATCCAACTTAAAATAAGGCTTTCAAAGTACGAAATCCTGAAACTCAACAAAATACATTCGCAGCAAACTAAAGCTAAATTAATTCACGTCCAAAGTGCCAAAGTGCACCTGAATAATCTCTAAGTCCTGCATATTTGCATAATTGCCGCATTGTAAACAAAATTTCTAAAAGTGTTCCTTACCCACAATTTGAATGGAATAAGGTATTTCGCACGCTAGTCAACTTTACGAATGGCGTGACGATGCAAACTTGCGGCAAAACATTGTAACTTTTATCCTATTTTCACGTGGAAATTTTTCAAACGCTCTGCCACCTCAAGCAGCCAAACAATTGATGTGATTCTTTCTTGTTACTTTTTAAGAGTTTTTCACTCAATCCGCTTATTTTTAAGCTTTGTTTTTAATTTTGTTACCGCAAAACATTTTTTTTTGCAAATCGTATTACAATGGAAAATGCCTTAAAATAACCAGATCATAAAATTGAGCACTTATTTATTTTACGGTACAAAAAATAATGTTTCTAGAGCGTGTCATTATTTTGTAAATCGTAAAAACTTCGCTAAGTAATAATATAAAATGTACGACATGAAAGACTTTGTACGAGTCAGTGTTTCGAATTTGATTTTTACTTAATTGCAATGATTTAAAATTAAAATTATTGGCTCGTTACTTACGCTTAAAAATCTATGCAATGTTAAATTAAAAGCACATTCTGCAGCGAACTCCATTGCCTTACTCATATTAATATAACATAACATTGTTGTAGCCCATAAAACACGCACCCCCATAAAGTATTTTTGAGTAATACCCACACGAAGTATTCGTTAACAATTACTTTCATATTGGAAGTCTCATAACAGGACGTCTTTTCACTTACAACAAATACCGCAATGAAATTAGGAAAGTCGACAAACTTTTGGAAGGATCACGGTACAAGCTTGGCGAGTTTCAAAGCATGTGATAAAAAATTTTGGGGGATGCCGTCGTATTGAAAAATGTTTTCACCCTGTATTTTGTTCTTTGACGAAATGAGTCGGGGTTTAAAATTAAAAATCAAAATCAAAATCAAAAAATATTTATTCAGTTTAGACCACAAGTGGCACTTATGAACGTCAATAGAAAATAATAAAAAAAGAAAAAGGTAGCCCTTATGGGGCACTTTACATGTCTCCTTATCTTTTGGGCCCTACCAGCGATTCGAGACAAACATATGGCAAGTGCTGAGAAGAAACGCCGGAACAAACTCAGTCACCACTTATTGCCAGGAATTATCTAACGGTAAGAATAGTCAAATTTNTGTAGTACCCTATATTGTAGAGTAGTATTATAATTGTAGAGTATTAAAATTCGTTTTACAAATATTTTAATCAAAGAACCAATGTGGATACTACATATTTTTATCTTGGACAAAAAACTAAAGTTTATTTTGTATATTACCGTTATCTTTATTACGTTCGGTATTTGAATCCGATAAGACAGACAAAAGTTCAAAACCTACACAAATATTTTTGAGCCTTTTATTAATGCCAACGAAAATAGTTGAGTTTAATCAAAAAGAGTATTTAACAGCCGAGCTGATAAAATCCAATTAAAATTACAACAAAGTCAACAATCCAGCAGAATCATTCCCGAATCCGAGTTAGCAAACGTACCCACTTCCCACTTTGAAAGCTCACAGTTCTCTCAAATTCTAAACTTCCCACAATCTAAAAAGAACGAGTCGGATTAAGCAGTAGTCATGCTCAAACAAAACTTGCGGTTGAAATCGTAAGCGTTCAGCATTTGCATCGTGAGCGTTAGTTTCACCTACTTCAAGGGAAATCAGAATTGAAGAAAATCGTTTTCGTGGCATAGAAATTATTCCCCCACGTGCGGTTGCAAGTTGCAGCCATTGACAGTCAGATCAGGTGTTCTGCAGTAACAGGTAACACAGTTTCGAGTTGCGCTCGGCTCTTGATCGCTTTATGCATAGAGTGTGAACTCGTTTCTTATTTCGGACTAGTCTCGCGTCGATCCCTGTTCTGGTTGATAGAGATTCTGTTTTTAAAATAACTTCTTTTGAATTTTAAAAAACGAAGGCTTTTTAACGCATTAGAATACGAATTGTGATTATGATCACCACCAGGCATACCCTTTTGTAAAAAGTATACCAAAATATTCCTAAAAATCCTCCACTGATTAACTTAACATGATGATTTATTTGTTTTACCTATTACCGTTTTGTTGTGCATAATCATAAATGCAAACACCCAATTGAATGGTACACAATAGAAAACATACACACACCCAATGTAAGCGTTACGAAAAAAAAGTGTTATTCTCTTTTTATTCGGTGTTTGAACATTCAATTTAGTATCACAATGTCAACTTTAAAACTTTAACAATTTGCCCCAAAATGTATAATCACCGCGTAAATAATAGGAATATTAATTAATAACTTGAAAGTCAACATGGTTCACCCTGTCATTAGTTTGGAGACGTATGAGTATATCAATCATTTGTTGCGCTTATCGCGCTCCCACACGACGCGCGACGCGCCTAACTACGTCGCCTCGTGTTTGCGTTGCTTGTACTCAAATTTGTTATACAGCTAATTTTAATTTGAGCGTTTCCCCTTTTGCGTTTCCAGTTTTGAATGTACGTTTGATTAAAATTGCTTTGATGGCTCATTCTTGCGTGATGCCGACCATTTTTTTGAGAATGGAAACGATAGAGGTAGTGTGAATCTCGATCGTGTAAAAATATCCATAACGAGTTGATTCGTTATTGTTATTATGTCTGGATAAGAACTTACATGAACTTTATCATGTTAATCGCCACTAGGATTACGCACAAATAATAGATTTACTGTTCTGTCTAGAGTCTTGGCCGTTAAAGATTAATGCGTTTCGTTAAATGTCGCGTACATTTTCGTTATTTGCTGTTTCATTCCTATTTTCGGTCAAAAAAGTTTGTGCCAGCGCGTGTAAATAATGACCTATACCGGCCTTTCCCCTTTTAAAACGAAAAAAAATCACTCATTTAAAATTTCAGCCCGGGCATAGCAAATTAACTGGATTTCAAAATGTCCAGGGATGCGGCTCCGCGCATGCCCGCTACTTTTCCACCTGAAATTCCTAACCGCCATTTTAATATTTAATCTCACCCTTGTCTAGAGCGTTTACCGGCGGTGTGCCCCAAAATACTTTCGCTATTTGAGGGACGCACATTGGTTAGGCACAGTTTTTAGGGACCCGTGGCGGAATCGCGGAACCCTTTCAAGTTTCATGGGTTTAATTTATTTTCGGGCATGATTCCATCGAGGGATCGTTGGGATGCGTTTGAAATCACCGAAATATTTTCGATGTAGTGTTGCGAAGTTTTGCGGATTCGCATTTGCACTGGCCGGTGTTTTCATTAATGTTAAATAAATCACAAAAAGTTTATGAATATACATAACTGATGCTACCACAGTTTTTAAGTGTAGAGAGAGATGTTTCTAATAATTCCAAATAAAAACTTGCAGATATTATTTATTTATAGGTCTGCTATTATTACAACACTACATAGAAATTACTTAATTCTAGCTTACTACGTTACCACCTAACTTTCCTTCCCATTAGATGATATTAATTAATTGAAATTGAGGCTCCGTACTTTACAAAATAACCGGGAGATCATTTTCTCTCCTAGAAATACCTACCTGAAAGTTACATAATCTACTGAACTCTTCCAATACGTGCCCAATACACACTTGCGGGCTTTTTTTAATCGCCCGACGACCACTTGACGGGCGGCCGTGATAGATGATGTCCGACGCTCGGGTCGCGTTTTGTCATTTTATTAATACATAAATTGGTCAGCAGTGACGCGGTCGAATTGCAGAAGGACGAAGCTAGTTAAATATTTCGGCCTTATTATTTGTGTGGGAGAAAAATTATGATTATATCACAATTAGCATCATTTTTATTATGAAACTTATTTGATCTCATACCTAACTTAATTACAGTATGATCATAATAAGAATGTGAAACATTCACATATGTTTTTTTTAATCATTTTATCATCGAATCTTCAATTCTAATTGGGCTGAATGTCTAATTTAGGACTAACCACAGGTTTGAAGTACCTTTAAGTACAGGGACATTTTTCTTTCAAAAAGATCCGTCTCTAAAACAAATTGTTATTGATCGCTTCTACATTGCTTGGGTAATAGCCCCAACTACGTAGGTTAATGGGTTGTCATCGCGCATGATGGCCGCCCGCCCTCCGACACGGATCACACCTCGATACTGACACGTTTTATGCTCATCATTAGCTTGTCATAAAATTGTGAATGTTAAATACTAAAGAAAATTGAAAAAAAAAAAGATTATTATAAAAGGTGTGAAGTCTCGGCTGACAAGCTTGAGGTGCAGGGTCCAAATAAGAAGGCCAGGGTGTAGCAAAAAGTGTACTTTTACTTCGCAGTACCAGCGTATTATACAAAAATAGTGCGCGTGCGTGCTCCGTCCGTCAACCAATTCCAATCAGGACGTTGGAGACAGACGCGGAGTCGCGGGGCAAATATTCGTAATGCGCCTTCGGAAGTCCCAATCTGCGATTCCCCTAAAGAACGTCACAGTCGGATGCAACCTCAGGTTATTACTTTACTTGCTTACTTTCTTCTTACTTCTTACTATATTCAACATAATCGTCGGAAGGTCTTTAAGGGAAAAAAAATCTGGACACCGCGGTGTAGAAATCGACTCTCAATGTGCTAGTGTCATCTAGCGGCGAGCGGCGTAAACACTTCCTAAACTGGATACATCTTGCAATAAGCACGGTGATCCGCGGAGGCTTGGTAATGCAGGCGAACACCACGAGATGGCGCTAGTAGTATTGATTGATAAATGCGATATTGTTACAGATCCGCGGTGGCTTGGTAATGCAGGCGAACACCACGAGATGGCGCTAGTAATATTGATTGATAAATGTGACGTTGTTACAACCTCCCCCTCAGATCACGAAGTCGTCCCGACGAGAAGATCTGGATTACGTTCTTGTGACGTCCACGGCCTCGTCGGTGAACAACTGGTTCATCTTTCGTCTTCTTAGACCATCTTCTGATGTTTCGTTTGTTGTAGTAACGATTATGTGCGCGCCACGATCCTTTTTCTATGCTCAGCGCTTTATGTGAAGCTACGTTACAGGATGTAGGACCAGGTTGCCTTTTAGTCTTACGAGGGTGATTGCAGCTTGGAGAGAATTTGCCTGTGATTCCTCTCGATTCCTTGACTACTGAATGTATATCTGTTAGCACCAAATCTTCATTTTGGTATTCCGGACGACAATGACACTGTTTGTCAATTGTTTCCATAACAACAGGGGTTTCCTTTCCCTCCCCCTGCTCATGAACCACCACTTGCTGGTAGTGAAGGCAGGTTGGTATCGTAGGTACGAATGCATGACGCAATGCTATCCCGAACTGCTTCCAGGTTGTCACTTGCAACTTGACTATTTGCCACCAGACGGCTGCCGCACCTTTCAATAGAAGTGGGACGCCATCAAGAGCTTCCTGGTCTGGGATGTTTTCAATGCACTTGTATAGGTTCACTGCAGCTAAAAATTCTTCGACCACTTCGGTGTTTCTCTCACCGTGAAAGTGGGAATTGCAATGAGTGAAATTTCCTTGCCGACCCGGTGAAATTTCCGCGAGTAGCAGCTGGAACTGTTCATATGCTAAGGTCACCACCATCTTGGACTGCTGCTTATCAGGTCTACCGCTGGTCGCCAGTGTGAAGATACAGGTATGATGACTTGTGCTTCTCAGAGTGACCGTTGAATCGCCAGTGTGCAGATGCAGGTAGGACTAGTACTTGTCAGGCCCCACGTTGGGCGCCAGTGTAAAAAGGTGTGAATGTCTCGGCTGACAAGCTTGAGGTGCAGGGTCCAAATAAGAAGGCCAGGGTGTAGCAAAAAGTGTACTTTTACTTCGCAGTACCAGCGTATTATACAAAAATAGTGCGTGCGTGCTCCGTCCGTCAACCAATTCCAATCAGGACGTTGGAGACAGACGCGGAGTCACGGGGCAAATATTCGTAATGCGCCTTCGGAAGTCCCAATCTGCGATTCCCCTAAAGAACGTCACAGTCGGATGCAACCTCAGGTTATTACTTTACTTGCTTACTTTCTTCTTACTTCTTACTATATTCAACATAATCGTCGGAAGGTCTTTAAGGGAAAAAAAATCTGGACACCGCGGTGTAGAAATCGACTCTCAATGTGCTAGTGTCATCTAGCGGCGAGCGGCGCAAACATTTCCTAGACTGAATAGATCTTGCAATAAGCACGGTGATCCGCGGTGGCTTGGTAATGCAGGCGAACACCACGAGATGGCGCTAGTAGTATTGATTGATAAATGCGATATTGTTACATCCTCCCCCTCAGATCACGAAGTCGTCCCGACGAGAAGATCTGGATTACGTTCTTGAGACGTCCACGGCCTCGTCGGTGAACAACTGGTTCATCTTTCGTCTTCTTAGACCATCTTCTGATGTTTCGTTTGTTCCATCCTTGATGTTTGCCCAGGACTTTATGTGAAGATGTCATACAGAACGTAGGTCCAGGTTGTCTGTTAGTCTTACGAGGGTAATTGCAGCTTGGAGAGAATTTGCCTGTGATTCCTCTCGATTCCTTGACTACTGAATGTATATCTGTTAGCACCAAATCTTCATTTTGGTATTCCGGACGACAATGACACTGTTTGTCAATTGTTTCCATAACAACAGGGGTTTCCTTCCCCTCCCCCTGCTCATGAACCACCACTTGCTGGTAGTTAAGGCAGGTTGGTATCGTAGGTACGAATGCATGACGCAATGCTATCCCGAACTGCTTCCAGGTTGTCACTTGCAACTTGACTATTTGCCACCAGACGGCTGCCGCACCTTTCAATAGAAGTGGGACGCCATCAAGAGCTTCCTGGTCTGGGATGTTTTCAATGCACTTGTATAGGTTCACTGCAGCTAAAAATTCTTCGACCACTTCAGTGTTTCTCTCACCGTGAAAGTGGGAATTGCAATGAGTGAAATTTCCTTGCCGACCCGGTGAAATTTCCGCGAGTAGCAGCTGGAACTGTTCATATGCTAAGGTCACCACCATCTTGGACTGCTGCCTATCAGGTCTACCGCTGGTCGCCAGTGTGAAGATACAGGTATGATGACTTGTGCTTCTCAGAGTGACCGTTGAATCGCCAGTGTGCAGATGCAGGTAGGACTAGTGCTTGTCAGGCCCACCGTTGGGACGCCAGTATAAAAGGTGTGAAGTCTCGGCTGACAAGCTTGAGGTGCAGGGTCCAAATAAGAAGGCCAGGGTGTAGCAAAAAGTGTACTTTTACTTCGCAGTACCAGCGTATTATACAAAAATAGTGCGCGTGCGTGCTCCGTCCGTCAACCAATTCCAATCAGGACGTTGGAGACAGACGCGGAGTCGCGGGGCAAATATTCGTAATGCGCCTTCGGAAGTCCCAATCTGCGATTCCCCTAAAGAACGTCACAGTCGGATGCAACCTCAGGTTATTACTTTACTTGCTTACTTTCTTCTTACTTCTTACTATATTCAACATAATCGTCGGAAGGTCTTTAAGGGAAAAAAAATCTGGACACCGCGGTGTAGAAATCGACTCTCAATGTGCTAGTGTCATCTAGCGGCGAGCGGCGTAAACACTTCCTAAACTGGATACATCTTGCAATAAGCACGGTGATCCGCGGAGGCTTGGTAATGCAGGCGAACACCACGAGATGGCGCTAGTAGTATTGATTGATAAATGCGATATTGTTACATTATTTCTTATCCTTTTCTTTTCTTTTTATTTATTTATTTATTTATTTAAGGATAGTACACAGCACAATATCAATCTGTGATAACAATGTTTTTTAGTAGATTTTAAACATATTCATTCATAACAGAACATGTATTTGACCACAATCGATTTGCCCTATCTTCATTTGTTTTTTATTCATCTACGAGTATGTAAAATCAAAGAAAGAAACAAAAAGTGTTTCGTCATTTGTTTTTGCTTGATTTCGAAGTGTACTTAAAACTCTGATGTTCAATTGTTTAGATTCTTTTCTAACTTCTTTTTCCGCTATTCATTTGTTTCGTTTCGATTTTCAAATTTTAGCACGTCCTAAATACTGTGGCACCTTATGTAGTCGTAAAAGGGACTATTTTTCAACAAAAGTATCTGATGTACTATCGACTTTACATCTCATCAAGATAGACTGGATAAGTGCGGATTTAGGTTCTTTTTTCCATACACATTGTGTGAATGTTTTAACTGTTTACTTTAACCACTCATGAAACAGATAGCTACAAAGAAAGACCTCAAAGCAATTAAGGTTCTATTGGCTCCCAATGCCTATGGAACCCTATCAAAGCACCCGAAATAATAAACTCTAATCACGATGATATTGACACTGTTTTACACTGATTTGTTTCCAGTCGATTCCACTGTAGCATTCTAATTGAACACGGTCGTAATTAATGAATTGACACATCGGAGAGCTGTCCAATAAGTCCGGCGAGCTCGCCCATTATGAAAGATGATCATTTGTTCAATATTTTTTTAAGAGATGTTGCTCGTTTTCTTTTTAATTTGATTGCTGTCTAGTTATACTTATCGGGGGAATCGATTTAGGTATTTTGTTAATTCTTTCATAGTAGTTTAGCTGTCAATTTGAATCACGTTTCTTTTATAAATACAGCTTGTTGCAAAATAAATATAATTATTTGACTACAATTAGGTATTCTGATACAAACTAGAATATTATGGACGTCCACCTCTTGAAATAAGTTTATTTTAAACTTTGACTAGCTATTTAATTTACTGTATCTTAAGCTGAATTGCACCGCCTAACTTTAACCGTTACTATAACGATAACCGGTGTATTTTGTACGTACTTAGACAGATTTTTGACGTTTGTAAAAGTCAAAGTATGATGGTGCAACCCAGCCTAAGAAAAATATCAACATAAAAAATGTCGTACAGTCATTTTAACCTTTAACTATGGACGTGAAAAAATAATCACACTCCCATGGACGTCGGGTCTCACAGACCCCTATCTAAAATTCTTTTTATTTTCATATCTGAATTGATTTGAATTTATTAAAGAGTTGATATATATCTAATAACTATTAATAAAGGTTTTAGTGGTAAATGTAATCAAATTTTAACCATCATTTAATTACTTTTTTGCAAATTTAAAAAACTTAGACAATTTTCAGTGTTAATTGACTTGCCATCATATAAAGGCTCCTTGATTACAGTCGATTATTAATAAATGAAAGTAATATTTTTTTCCTTGCTAATTAATAACCATGTAACATAAAAACATGAACAAAATTTCTGAAGGACCTAAATTAAAAATTTTGACAAGGGTTAAAGTTACTAAAATTATACACAGTGGCCTAGAACACTAAAAACAAATTATCTCTAAAGGCATGTGGTATCTTTCTTTGAGAGCTTTGATAGACAAAATGTACACCATTCAGAATTGGAATCTGCAGCAATGGTGAATTCTAAGACATCTAAACTCAAAAGAAGAATCGTCTACAAGTAATACCTTACTCTTGAAATGTTATTTAGATACTTTCTGCCATTAAGTAATCTTAAACTAGAGCAATTTACTTAATATTATAATAATATAATACAAAAAAAAAATAGTTGACAAGTCACATCCATACAAGTATGTTTGTATGGAAATTAAAGTCATCGGGTCTCCCAGGCCCGGACAAAATTTTGGATGGTTATTACTCACGTAATAAGTGCCGGAAGACGCGATTTTATGCCTCCTCGGTCCAAACACAGCTAAAACTGAAGCTACTGAGATGGTCGAGAGCAGCAAGTGGCGGGAAGGTGTTTAAACCGAGAAATCGGAAAGGGGGGTGGGCCTCTGAGACCCGACGTCCATAGTTAAAGGTTAATAAAAGTATACCGATCAGGCAAAGCTCTATAGGGGATATTGACATACTCGTAGATGCTCTGATATATTATCACCCGAGGCAGGCGCATTATTGCACTGAGCTGTCTAATTGGACACGACACTGTAATGAAAGAGAGAAAGGTCTATTGTCACATAAATAATGTCTCTCAATATGTCTATGAGATATACTTTATGTTGCTATCTATCTAATTCTCGATGATCTTTGATTGCTGGATTCTTATTGACGATTGTAACTGGGCTGTAAGTAGACTTTCATCTTTTAGCGCAATTTACATAATCCAAGCTGTCAGTTGAGAAGATAGAGGATTTTTTTTGAACTTGAATCTTTTTTGTTTTTTACAAATTGCCAATCCCACCAAAAACATTCTGTAAAAAACTAGCCAAGTCTCGATGGAGCTGCTTGTTTATCTCTAAAAAGTAATGAAATCTAGACAAAGTCGTGCCAAGTCTATGGTTCCTTACTGCAATTTCTTTATTATTATAGTTAATGTTGTGTGACTTGGCCGTTGAAGGGTGACAAAACCAGGTGCTCCATGACACCATTGCACCAATCTGTCGCCAGAACCGCTACCCATTGACGATGGAAAATTGCCATTTGGAAAACGTTGATTCAATAATAACCAGTCAATTGTAGGTTTAATAAAGCTGCGTATTTCAATAATACTTATGTATGATTATCTTGATAAAGATTGTTCAACGGCCAAGTCACACAACATTAACTATAATAATAAAGAAATTGCAGTAAGGAACCATAGACTTGGCACGACTTTGTCTAGATTTCATTACTTTTTAGAGATAAACAAGCAGCTCCATCGAGACTTGGCTAGTTTTTTACAGAATGTTTTTGGTGGGATTTCACTTCTTTTTGTAGAAAGTGGCAAAATTATTTAACGTCGTCGTTTATCAACATTTTTTTACGATATTAAACACAAATAAACTCAACGACCTTTAAAATGGACAACGAATCAGAATTTTTTTAATAACATAACCTTAGCGAACCTTACAATATAATAAACGAAATCAACGAAATGCAAATTACACAACATTCAACTTAATCGACGACTTTCTCTAGAAAGGAAAAAAATCTGGACACCGCTTGCTAGTGCTAGCGCCATCTAGCGGTGAGCGATACAGGCGAACACCACGGTGCCGGAGTAGTATTGATTATGAATGTGGTTACTCCAGATCTTCGATTTTCCTAGTTTTTATAGTTTTCCCTTTATGTGGCCATTAAACCCTAACTCTGTACCAAATTTCAGCTCTCTGAGTTAATGGGAAGTACTAGTTCTATTTTGATGATCATCAGTGAGTGAGTGAGTGAGTGAGTGTCGTAAATGCGAAACTTTGCTTTCGCTTAACTTCGGAACTAAATGACCTACAGACTTGAAATTTTGGATTTTAAGTATGTGATTATAGCTTATTAGATGACGAAAATTTCTGCGTTCTGGTCTTATCCAGAGGTTCTCAAATAGGGGCCTGAAAATGCGGCGAAATGGTTCCAGTAAAGGATGGTACGGCAGTGTTTGCTTCGCGCTCGACTTGGCGGGGGCACTGCCGTGCCCCCAGATATCCGAACAAAACGAATATTATAGCTAAGTAAGATGTATCGATTTGTGATTATTCTTCTGTAATTGCATCTGCAAGAAACTGATCATCTAATCTGTTTCTTTTACCAACTTTCGAAAATTGCGTGGGCAAAACCAATACATAAAAAAATATACCGTATTTAGCGAGCATACGAAAATTTAATTTCATCCGAAGAATAATGGAATGATTAAAAGAAAAGTCGAGTAATTGTGTGCGGAAAACCCAACTGGATCGGGGAGATATTGACACTGGTTTTGCCCTGATATATTATCACCTGCGGCGGGTACGAGCGCATTATTGCACTGTAGCATTCTAATTGAACACGGCCCCGTAATGAAATTAATTGGAGTGGTGGGCTCTTCGGTTTTTAAACACGTCTAGTTCTGTTTTCTCAGTATTAACAGTGCAGAACGAAATGTATTGGGAACCTATTAATGTTTTAATGCTGTGAAAATGTTAGTTTAATCACACGTTTTAAAATTATGAAATAAAATTGCGCTTGGATCGCAACTCGAATATTCGAGTTTTGAGATAAAATATCCTTAGACTATTTGACACCATTCCCGAATATTTTGAAATAACAACTTTTTTAACAAGACGCTTCATTCTGATTCATAAATTAAGATTATTGGTTGCTGGAAAAAGTAGTTTAATTGAGACGACTGAATAGTGACCTCACTTCCTTGTACTGTCATACAAAATGTATGGGAGAGTCTCGTTTTGACAGTTTAAAAAAAGTAGGTACTTCATCTAATTGTTGGTGTCAACACGTCTATTAACATTGTAAAGTGGCTAAAAAGTTGACGACAGCAAAACCTTATTCCATTGCAATAAAGACGTGTTGCGAACTTTTTGGCTATTTTGGGTGTCAAGAACTATTTGACGCTGACTGTACCTATTCAGGAACGTTCCTTACGTTTTACTACTTAACGTTTTAATAATCTACGCGAAGTTACCATTACACGATATTATCGCCAAACATCTTATTATGCTAGTCATTAATTTCTTTGCAATGCCTTTGAAGTGCATATGCAAGTTTAAGCTCTAACTTTAGCTAGTTATAGCCTGAAGTTGCTTGCTCGAGTATTTCTCGAGGAGTTGCTAATAATGACATGTCATTGGTAGAGCCCGCCCTCGGCGGTGGCGATCATTTCTGCAGGTAATAAGTTTATCGACCACTACCTTCTTGGAAAATGTCTGGAACGACCGTTGAGAAAACTGAAACAGATTTTTCAACGTCTTGGTGA